ACACACACACACACACACACACCACCACACACACACACCACACACACACGCGCACACACATACTCCCACACACACACACACACCACACAACACACACACACACACACACACACACACACACACACACACACACACACACACACACACACACACACACACACACACACACACACACACACACACACAGTGTTTTGTTCCCACAGCCGTGTGTTTGTGTGTTTTTTGCCTGGTGAACTCTCTGAGAGCCGCGCGGATTTCCCGGCGCGGGAGCCCCCTGGGCGCGCCGGGGAGGGGGGTCTGGCGCCGGTGCAAGAAACCCGCGGGGGACCTCCGGGGGTTCTTGCGCTGACGCGCATGTTGGTTCCTCCCACCTGGCTCCACAGAAGGCACGCCCGTGTAGAACCAGCTCTGGCCCTTCCAGCTGCAGAGCCCCAGGGTCCGCAGTTGGGAGAGGCCCCGGAAGACGCCCGCCTTCAGAGGGGGCAGCTTGCACTGCGGGAGGGTGCACTGCGATGCTCCGTCTTGGAATTCTGCGCTGATGTCCAACAGGAGATGCTGTAGACGCTCGAGCCCGTCGAATGCACCAGGGGCAATGGCATCCAGCCCATTGTCTCGTAAGTCGAGCCAGGTGAGCTCTGTCATGTGCTGGAAGGTGCCAATCTCCATCGTTCTCAGCCTGTTCCCTCTCAGGCTGGCCTCGGAAAACATGTTCGGGCTGGAAGCAAAGGTGGAAGGCGAGAAGGCCCCTGGGCGAATGTGAGTGATACCTGCTTGCGCCAAGCTCAGGACAGAATACTTCATGTCCGCGGCCACGCCGCAAGATCTGAGCTCGCCCTCGCCGGGCAGCGAGACGGGGGGTCACCACCACTGGAGGGGGGGCGCCACCTCCTCCCGGGGAGAACGGCGAGGACGCCCCAGGATTCCCCACACGCCTCAGGAGCCACAAGAAAAACTGCTGATTCCCAGATCCTCCTTCCCCCTTCCTTCCCCGACTCCAGAGACCTCCCCGAGCCAGACTCCTGCTTCCTTCCAGACTCCCAGACTCCACGAACCTCCCCGATCCTCATTCTCCCCCCTCCTGCTCGACCCTCGATCCCCGCGCGGAGGCGGCGACCCCACCCAACAGCCCGGTGGTGCACCCCCGTGGCGCCGCCCGGACCTCCGAGGAGCACCAGCAGGGGAAGCAGCTGGGCGCGGGCTCGAGCGGGAAGCGGTCCTGCTGGGACGACGACGACGACGACGACGACGACGACGAGGAGGACAACGACGACGACGACGACGACGAGGACGACGACGAGGACGACGACGACGACGACGACGAGGACGACGAGGACGACGACGACGAGGAGGAGGACGACGACGACGACGACGAAGACGAGGACGCCGACGACCGATACCGCTACTCCCGGGGCCTCTCCCTGGGCGCAGTCTGCCCAGAACTCCGAAGAGGGCCCCGCCGTGGCGACGAGGGCCCTCCGGGCACGGGCAGCGAAGCCGGCAGCGTGTTTTCCTCCTCCGGGGGGTCCGAGTTGCCGGCCACGAGGATGGCGCCCAGCAGGCCGAGGCAACCTGGGGGGCCAGGTTCCAAGGGCTCCCAGCTTCGCGCTTCGCGCTGCGCGAAGCGCGAAGTGCGAACAACTTCGCGCTCTCGCGCCGCCTCCCAGGGGAGAAGGGGAGGAAGAGGAGGAATCGGAGCCGAACCGCGAAGCGCGAATAACTTCGCGCCCTCGAGGGCGCCCTTGGGTTCGGGGATGGACAGACCCCCCTTCAGTAGAACGTGGTTTCGTGAAAACGGCCCGAGGCCCCAAACCTGGCGGGCGCAAGCCTGGAAAACAACGGCCACGGCGCCCTCTCGAGAACCGAACACGGGCAATTCACGAATCGACGTGTCACTGTTGGGGGTTCTGTCCACTCCCGACACGTGAGGGGGGACCGGCTCCAGGGGGGAAACAACGGCCTGGGTTCGGCGATGCTCTGGTCGACCCAAAAGGGGGTCCAGCTGAAACGGGGGATGGTGCGATCGATCTGGGGCGATTGTGTTGCAGATGTACCGCGACGGAGAATTGTATCGAATCGTACTGCGACGAATGCGTTGCACGCGAAAATCCAGCAACACATTAGCGCCGGGGAAAGTATCGCACGCCCCATGTATTGCAACTCCACAGATCTACTGCACCAAATCTATTGCACCACCCCCTTGTCGCTGGACCCCCCCTTTTGGGTCAACCCGAGAACACTAACCGCACTTGTAGCACTAACCGTAATTCTCATACGTGCACCAGCAATCATAAGAAGACGGGGCCAGGATGTGGGAGAAATTTCAGGGTCTCGGCCATGACTTCCACTGCCTGGACGCCCCCCGACTACAAGGGGCCCTCTGCGGCAAGCTGGGGCTGCCTCCGGGGACAGTTTTTGCACGCGCCAAACCCTTCCACTCGCAGAGGGGCGCTGGACGCCTGTTTGGGTCAACCCGAGATGTATCGACAACATGTTGGCGACAGGCCCCCGATAGCGAATCCGCATGGTCTGTTGGGCGGGGTGGGCCATCGGGCCCCTATCTCGGCGATGAGTGGGCGTTTGGGGGCCGTTGTCCCCCCCCCCTCCCCCTGAGCCTATTTTGAGCAGGGACCGACCGTCCCGGCATTCCTATAGGCCTACCACGATTTTTTCTTCGAGCCCAGAAATGTTCCAATCACAAAAACATTGTTCTGATGACATAAGCCCGATGTGTTAAAACAAAACGGTCTCGGCCATACGTGTTCTAAGAACATGTCGCGCAGACCCCACACAAGGTTCTTAGAACATTCTTTGGTAGGCCTATAGGCGAGCTGGGACGCTTCGCCACTGCTTGACCATCGCCGTCCCTGGTCCACAACTCGGGCATCTGGCGCTCAATGGGCCCCGGAAACGGCAGGGCCGTTTTTTCACCGTTTCCGAAAAGTCTCCCTTGAAAATGGAAACGGGAAAAAAAACGGCTCCAGGATTGGAACCGGAGCAAGAACCCGTAAAAGAACGGCGACGGGACCGGTAACAAAAACGGCGTCGGAACCAGCAAAACAACGGCAGAACGGAACCGGTAAAAAAACGACCCTGTCTTTTCCAGGGCCCACTAAGTTCGGGACCATTCGGGCACCCCTTGAGTGCTCTCGGCGAGGCGTGGCCGCTGGAGGGCGTCCGGAGGCTGGAGAACCGACAAGAGCCGGGGAAAACGCCTACAAAACCCACTGCGGCGCCTCCGAGGGTGCCTCCGAAGAGGAGGGGTCGATGCGTCCCCCCCCTGAGCCTGTGCCTGTCGACGCTAATCGACGCTGAATTGACGCTAAATGGACGCCAGACGACGCTAATCGACGCTATTCGACGCTAAATTGACGCTAGACGGCGCTAATCGACGCTAAATCGGCGCTGCCCCATCGAGCACCAAGCCAGAAAAGAAAAGCGGCATAAACATATAAGCTTTTGGCGCTCCGCGCGGATTTCTTGGATCTGCGCCAGACCCCCCTCCCTGGCGCGCGGAGCGCGCCAGGGGCGGCGCCGGAGGCGCCGCCAGGGGGGCCCAGTGCGGATCCAAGAAATCCGCGCGGAGCACCGACAGTTTATGTTCATGCCGTTTTCTCTTCTTCGACAGACGCTAACCGACGCCAGTCGACGGAATGGAGAAGGCACACAAGGCTCCCATGAGTCTCTGCCGAACCCTCCTGACTTCGGGGGCGGCCAAGAGGGGGGCGTCCAAGAGGGGGGGGTGCAAATCATGGCCCGCGGCATGTGCGCGGCCCAGGGGGGGTGGCCAGGAACGTAGTGAAATAAGAAGAGGCCCCGTGAAGTCTGGGGAAATATCATGGCCCGCGCCATGATATTCACCCCGCCCTAGTCATCACCCCCCTCTTTTGGGCAGGGACCGACCGTCCCGGCATTCCTAAAGTCATACCACGACATGTTCTTAGAACCCAAAAGGTTCTAAGAACAAAAACAATGTTCTTAGAACATAAACCCGATGTGTTAAACCAAGACAGTCCCAGCCAGAAATGTTCTGAGAACATCCCGTGGAAACCACAAAAGGGTTCTTAGAACATTGCTTGGTAGGGCTGCAGGCGAGCCAGGGCGCTTCGCCACTGCTTGACTCTCTGCTGCCCCCTGAGAGCCTGAGCCCGTCCTCCCCCCTGCCAGGAAGCTGGAAACACACACGCACGCACACACGGCTGGATTCGCGTGCGGCACCCCCGGAGGCCGCGCGCCGGACACACGCGCGCGCGGCTGCCCACGCCGCGGCGCGAGACTCTTGGCCCGCGCGTCCGGTCTTCCGAGCACCCTGCACCAAAAAAAGCGTCTTCGCCTCCCGGGGGCACGTGCTTCACAGTCGAGGCGTTGACCTAAGGAACCCCAAAGAAGGAACGAGGCCCCTTTTTTCCCATAAGTTCCACCTCGATTTCCCATGGAAGACCTCAGGAAAACCCGAGGCAAACTCTGAAACAATCAAGGAACACCGAGCCCCTCCCCAACGAAAAGGGTTCCTTCTTCAACGCCCCGACTGTACTTCCGCCGCCTTCCGCCGGCCTCCCGCCGGCCTCCGCCAGCGGCGGCGGCCTCTGCCTGCTTCCGCCGCGGGAGCGACGACAACTCCTTCCGCCCTCGAGGGCACGGCCTTCTTCTTGGAGCGCCTCGCGTGCGTATCGGGCCCTCGCCCAGGCCGGCTCCGTCGTGTGCGCCCCGCCTCCTGGCAGCGTTGCCCCTGGCAGCCGAGGGACGCGAGGGCGCCCGTCGCAGCCGCGCAGCGGCGGCCCAGCGGCGCGGCGGAGCGGGCAGAAGCGCCCGGCCCGAGGAAGGCCAGCCGCTCCTCCACGGCTCGGGTCGTGAGCAT